TGCTAATGTCATCACTGTACGCCCGAATTCGGGGAGCTATCAGGCCAGAAAAGAGAAAGTAAACGAACATCCCGGTTCAAAAAAATATACAATAGATTACGTCTTTTACCTTTTTTGGATTTCTTATCAAAAGCTTGTGCTTCAACGGTAATTAAAAAGCGGGGGGCCGCTTCAAGGTATAATCCAATGTCTTTGTTTCACGTTTAGACATTCTTTACTGATAAGTCCACCATCATCATTTTATGTTAATATACTGGGTATAAAGGTTTTGCCCGTCCGAGGCTTGTACTTTCAGATGACTTTCTCTATTACAACCCGCGCAATGTAATGTTTACGTGGAATTTGGGAAATGGGCCGCCCATCGATTCTATGGATGTAGTGGTTTTAAGAAAAAGGGGGTGTAAATCACCAAATCGACCAATGGGTTCAAAGATATGGGTCCTGCGTAAAGTATGAAAGAATGCCAGCCGGCGGTTAAGCAGCCCGGGACTTTTACGGCAGGCAGACTTTACTTTATTTTTACGTAAGGCAAGCAGGAAATTGCAGGACCCAGAAGCGCACGGAGCCACAGAGCGGACCAGAGATTAACGGAATTGCCCAGTTTTATCTGCTCATAGATTATCAGAAACAATTTTTCAAAAGGGGCGACACAGTCCACATTGCGAATATCTTTAACTCATGGATGTAAATACATCATCGTTTATCGTTTTAATGCCATTGAAGACCAGATTAGACCAGACAAAGGACGAAGTAAGTCATTATTAGCATTGTGGGCTACTAGCGCCACTTGTTTTTGATGTACGTTTTTGTGGACTAACGTCCGCGAGTTTGTATCTTTCAGGTGTTGAGGTTGGGCACCGCTTAGATCTCTGGTGTCTTTACGTCATAAACGATGCCTGGATTTGGATGTGCAGCCCTAGATAAGTTGAATAAGGGGAGCTAAGGGGGAGGCTGATTTTTTCTGGCTGCAGAAATAGGTTTAGCATTTTTTCGCCTCGCCGCGGGCTTAATGCAGGTCAGGCTCACTGGTTGGCATTGTGGGCCTAAATGAATAACAAGTACTGGTTTTTTTTTTGCTTTTTTTATTTTTGTATTTTTTTAGCAACGTGCGGTTGTTAATTTGGGATGGGAATGAATACCATATTAGAGATAATCAAAGTAGATAAGAATGATTGTTTACCAAGTGAAAAAGGTCAAAATGCGAACTGATGGTTTTCCCAAATTACCCAGAGGTTGGAGGTCCGCGCTGGACTGTTATTTTTTCTGAACGCTTCTCTAAAAAGGGTCAAATTTCGCAGTTTGTTTTGGTCATTAATCGTTGATACAGGGTACTTATATAGTTTTGAGCTTTGGGATTTCCTAAGAACTTTTTAGTTACTTACCCATCATTCAAGGTTGGTTTTCCACTATTAAGTAATGGGTTTGTTTTTAGCGGGATAAAGTTGACGGTGGCGCGGCACATTTTAGATATTGTACATGCTTTTTTACTATGGTTCGATCTATTTTACTTTAAAACTAAAAACATCTATAGTTGATTCTGGGACACTTCTACTCCAGACTTCACAGATGGTACCTTGCGCCTTTGGAGCAGGAAAAGATTGATCTAATTACCCCCCCCCCCCCTCCCCCTTTTAGAAAGTGGGATATGAATGCTGTGATTAGTGTCTTTGAGTCTCCGAAAACCTGTATTAAAAACAGGTCCAGTGGTCTAAAGTGATATGTGACAAATTAACTGCATCTCCTTTCCTCCCCGTGAACCCCCCTCATGTCCCATAGATCTCATAATCATGGGAGCTCGAAAGAAGACCGACGTGAAGAGAACTTGAAATACGATCAGGGTAATCGGATAACAAACAAATCCCGTTTAAAAAACGTTATTAAATAAACTAACCGACGAAGCAGGCACTTAAAGCGGCGCTAGTTATGCAAACAAACATTTGAATGCTGGACTTGGATCAGTTCTGATTAGGGACTAGGACCTACATTGCAAATAAGGAGACAGCAGCTGCGTCTTTTACACACACACACACACACACCACACACACACCACACACACACACACACAACACCACACGACCCACACACACACACACACACACAACAACACACAACACACACAAGACACACAACACACACACACACCACACACACCTTCCGTTTTTTGTGAGACTTGGGTAAATCCGGAAATGGATGAACAACCTTTGCAGCCCAGTTTGTGGGTGCGACGTCTATCCGACGGTATTGCCTCTTGCTTTTCCTGCCCCCACATCTCCTTCCGGGGTCCCACTTACCTCCCTGGAAAGGGTGAGTCTTGAGAGCCAGGGACGTTGCTAGCGCAGCTAACATTAACGTTGTAGTGCTAGCATATATCCAAGGTCTGTTAGGCGGCTTTGTGATGATGTTGAGTAGCTGGTGTGTTGTAGCGCTTCACTTGTAGCGTTCGGGCTGCAGCCTCTGTGTCTTCTTGTGAATGGTAGTAGTTCTTCTTTAGAAAAGGAGGAAGGTCAAGTAATAAATGCTTTGCCTGCCATTGTATTATGAGCTTTTGGTTAGCGTTCTTGAGGGAAAGAGCTTGCCGCAAACATCGGCGGGCGGAAACCTTCGAGCGAGCTGGACCCAACCTCAGCTCCCGCCGCGGGTCACGACGAGCGTGAATCATAATTTTCTTAAGGAAATCGTTTTTATTTTTATTATTATTACTGTGAAATGTATTATGTTTTTGTCCTTATTACAACAAATACACACTTGCAACTGTGATATACTGGCAATGATTTCTATATTTATTAGACTATTAAAAAAGATGTCATGCTCCAAATAAGTGGGGGTACTGCGTCCCCCGCGTCCAAAATGCTCCACTTCACCACTGCTCTTAAGGGCATGAAGTGACAAAAACTTCTCAACATGCCTCCATCAAAGCCCATGTAATTTCAGGCTGATATTTCCTCACGGCAGCAGCCAACACCCTTAGTTAAACTGCCAAAAGGCCACATCATTAACCCGAAAGTACACAAAAATTACACTTCAGATACTCAAGGTCCTTGAGATGCTTCACGCTTTGAATATTCCAAGATATCTGTTACGGTTCTTCCACGACACGTTCACATGTAAGAGGGTTTATCTCTCATTCAGAACATGGAAACCTTTGATGTCTGGACACCTCGTTAGCTCAAATATGGAACCCACCTGTGTAATGGAACACGTGATGTCATCACTCCAACTGACATGCTCAGAGCAGCAGACTTCAGCATAAAGGTTAATGGTCCTGCTCCTCAACAGGCTCCTTCGTCAATTATCGGGTGTCATCATCATATGCCGAAGATCAAGAGAAAGAGAGAGAGAAGAAGAGGAGGGCGATCAAGAGAAGAGAGAGAGTAATGTAACCTCTAACTGCTATAATTCCTATGAAAATGTTCAAAAACTGTGCTCAAACTTCACATGTGTGCTAACAGTCCAGCCGTGAAGACATCCTACGGACAGTTTTGAGATTTCTTCATAATGCCGTTACCATGGCAACACCAATGCTCGCCCGTTGAAACACGGTGTCGCTGTAAGTCCAATCGAAAATGGTCCAATCGTACCCCAATCCTTCACTTGTATATCACCGGTCCATGGCCTCAAACAGCTCTACGCCCAATCTGAGATCTCACCATATGCCGTTTCCATGGAAACGCATCCCTCGCCATAAAGATGATGCCGCTATAACTCCTATGAAAATGTTCAAAAAGTGCTGCAAACTTCACATGTGTGCTAACAGTCCAGCCGTGAAGACATCTACGGGGACAGTTTTAAGATTTCTTCAAATGCCGTTGGCCATGGCAACACAATGCTCGTCCTGAACACGGTTTTCTCATACTTCAGTGAAAATACTCCAGAACAGCCCAAAAACTTCACAGGTTTGGTAACGATGCAGCCATCAACGCATCTAAGCGTATTAAGGGATGTCATCAAATGCCGTTGGCATGGCGACAGATAATTCGCCATCAAGTTAGTTCAAAGGTTTGCGGTTTAAATATTCTGCTGCTTTTCCAAGCCTTTTTACTTTCTTTTCTTCTCTCATCACACATTCAAGCCCCCAGTGTTCATGTATCATTTCAATCTAAATTATTGACTTTCTTCTTACACAATACATTTCAGCATAGCAGTTTAGCATTCCCACTAGCAATTTCTTCAGGAATTGCATTCTCTAGTTTCAACTGATATTATACATGTATTATACTCTTATAAGATGTATGTAGATAGTATAAGAAATGTGCAGAATACGACAGATGAATGGTGGAGGTATACACACATATCGATAGATGTCTTGTAATGCACTGTTGAGGAACCTGCGACCCAAGTTTTTAATCTCCGACCTTGTCAGGTATTGAACATTCGATAAATAAAGAACACAGAATTATTAAATATAAAACACAGAATTTGTGTGATTATACTAAATGATTTACAGACAAACGCCACGGCATATTTACAACTGTTACACATGCTGATGTAACGCAAATGTTTCCAACTTGGGATCAATAAAGTATATCTTATCTTAAGATGATCGATGGCTACTACCATATTTGCAAAATTTGCCTCTGAACCTTGACAAGTGCATGTTTCAGGCTTATCAATTAACAACAGGAGGGGTCACAGACATAACACCAGCTGTTAAATAAAGCTCTTCTGACCTTAGCTGTCATGTGGATATATTAATGCTGCCCATTATGGGCACAAGCAATTTTCAC